CCCGGGGGCCCTGTGCCCGCCGTGCGCACCCATGGCAGGGCTGGGGCCACCCAGCAGAGACCTGCACCCACAGTGGGCACCCACTCCAGGGCCCCCAGCACCCGTCAGGGCACCCACCCACCCACCCCAGGGCCAGCAGCGCCCAGCGGGGCAAGGCCTGGGGAGAGGAGGCGGGTGCAGGCCCGCGGTGGGGCAGCAACATGGCTGGGGGCTCCTTGGGGGGGCAAGTGACAGCGCTGGTGGGGATGAGGGTCCCCAGTGCAAGGTGAGGGGCAGAGCAGTCAGCAGGGATGGGATGGGCATGGGGATGGGGATGGGGATTGGTACGGGGACGGGGACAGGGATGGGGACGGGGATGGGGATGTGCCACCAGACGCATGGGACCTGTTTGGAGGAGCTGCTTGCTGCAGGCCAGGGATGCTGCCTGTCCTGGCCAGCTGGGGTGGGGGGATTGCATGGAAGAGGGGATGGGGATGGTGTTCAGGACTGTGATGGCAACGGGTGTGGTGACTGGGATAAGGATAGAGATGGGGATGGGAGTGACCCCTGTTCTCACACAGAGACCTCCACAAAGAATAACTTCTGCCGGAGTCTGCTGTTCCCTCACCAGGGGGTGACCTCAGCCAGGGTGACCCCAGTGAAGCACTCCGAGCCCAGGGGTAGCCCCGAGGGCCACTGTGTCCTGCTGCTCCCAGGGCTGCTCCCGTGTCCCGAAGGCTGCAGGGTCTGCTGGGCTGGGGGCACCCTTGTGGGGACCCTCCTGGACGTGCTCTCTGCTGCGCAGGATGGAAGGTTCTTCACCCCCCAGGAGCAAACCTTGGCCCTTCCGCAGCCCCAAACCAAGCCAGGTGGTCTGGGCCCCACCGGGATTTCAGCTGCAGCCCCTTCCCACGCAGGGCAGACCAGGGCTCCCTCTCGGCCCAGAGGAATGCCCTGGAAGATCAATCCCCGCTGGCCAGGCCGTTTTAAACCTGAGTGTGTCTGGCTCTGCACTCTCCCATTGACGCTCCCAGTTCTCCCATTGACCCATGGTCATTCACAGCTCAGAGCCTCAGGGGACTTTTCATTTGTGTACATTAAAAATTCACATTTCTCAGGGCAAATTGGAGATGTCCCAATAGGAAAATACAGCCAAAGGAAAACACATAAATCATGTGGCTTCTCAACAGGCCTTGGCTTCTTACATTACCCCTCTCCTGCCTCAGCCCAAATACTGCAAATGCAGAAAATAACCAGTGGGAACACGTCTGCCTCGGCACCTGGCATAACCCCATCATTTCCCAGGACAAGCTCCAGTGTTGGGTAATGGCAGGGCAGGGAGCAAAGCTGCACACAGGATTCATTTCGCCTGACGTCGTTAACCCGGAGCAATAGTCAACACATGAAATTGTGCTTCTCTGTTTGTCCCAGTGACTCGGGGGGCTGGTGTTTCCCAGTTCAGAGGGCTCTCGGGATGCTGGTGCTCCAGCTTCGGGCTCCACAGGCACAGTCCCTGCCAGAGCTCTCTTCTGGGATGCCAAAACCCAGCAGGACCGAGATGAAAAGAAAAATTTTCATGTTTTTGAGGGGGACGACCCCACTGGGGAGTTTCTGTCGGAGCTGTGGCTGCCTCCCCAGCACTCCGGGCTGGTGGTGGGTACGGCGGCAGACCTGCCCCTTGGGGGGCAGAGGTACAACATCTGGCATGAGCTGGGAGTGCGAGAGGCACCGGCCAGCCCAAGGGGCACCGGCCAGTCCCAGGTGCCATGCAGGGGACCCCAGGGGCCGCAGAGAAGCCTGATGCTCTCACCCAGCCGGAGGGTGACCCCTGTCCCTCGCCACCCCCCCAACACATCCCAGATCTCCTTCAGCAGCTGCAGCAGGGTGAGCGCAGAAGGGCCCCCCCAAACCACAAAGTTTTGGAAAAAGCAACAACCACAATTTGAATTTTCTGTTGTTTCTTTTTCTCCTGCAGTGTTTCCTATCTGGTTTGGTTTTTTTTTTTTCCCTTCTTTTCTTTTCTCCTCTTTTGAAAAATTCCTTCTGACCATGAAACAAATGAGAAAACACCCGGAGGGTGGCGGAGGGGGCTGGGGGCTCTCTGGACTCTCTGCTTGCTGAAATTTCCCAAATTCCTCCTTCCTGAGCTTCTACCTCTGTGACTCCTCCCTGTTTGCCGCTGCTGGGTGCTTGCCCTGAGGCCTCTCACTCACCCTTTCTGCAAGCAGCAGCTTGGGAAATGCTTGGAGACGGCTCAGGCCTAGGAAGAACAAGAAGCCGGTGGCTGGTATTTATTCCCGCAGGAGCCTTGTACACCTTTGTACATAAACACTCCTACACACAAGAGGTGCTTCGCGCCCAACAGCAGGGACTTTGTCCCTGCAAAGAAAAAGATGTGAAACTCTGAATATTAGTTGCCTCCTTGTGCACAGGAACAGAAGTTTAGCTGATGGAAGTATTGGGTACGCACGTCATCGCTTCGGCAAGGCTGAGTGCCATGGGAGAGGCTGGGCTTAAAAATCAGCTCAGCAAAACTGCAGCTGAATAGAGTGGCAGATCTCAAACGCAGACTCTTGGCAAAAAAACCCTCAGGGAAGAGCTGTGCGGGGCAGGAAAGCTGTTCCCGACGGCCACTGTCCTTGGGAAGCTCTTGTGCCACCACGCAGCTTGCACCCCCAGGTGACACAGGGACTCCTGGAAGGGTAAATCCTGTTGCCGGGTGGGTTTGGATGAAATGAAAAGGCTTCTCCCCCCGGGCTGGACGGGCCGTGCCCGGGGTACTGGGCTGGGGGTAGCAGCGGTGGGCTGGAGGCAGCACTGCTGTGGGCTTCTGTGGCAAGCTCGGCACAAGCCCCCACTGCAGCCCCGGTCCCACAGGGCCTTGCTGTCGGCCAGAGGGGTGCGGGCAGGGCCCAGCAAGGGGGGGAATCGGGAGTTTAACCCCTAAAGATGGTGCAGATGGGAACGCAGCTCCCTGCTTAGGATGCACTTTGTAGAGCAGGGACTGAGCGCTGGAGCGGCAGGAGGAAACACCCGGCTGAGAGGGAGCAGAAGGGCTCCATCTGCTCTTATCTGAAAAGAACCGAGAGTGGTTCCATCACGGTGTGAATTCCTTCACAGGGAGGAAAAGCAGAAACCGAAAATCCCTTTAAGCTGGTGGAAAAAGGCAGGACAAGGAGGAAGAGCTGGTAACCAGAATCCAAGAGACTTGCAAATGAAATAAGATGCACATTTTTCACAGGGGGATGACTGAAGTCTTAGAGAGGGAGGGAGTTAATCCTTGGCAGCCCGGGAGATGGGGAACACTTGGAGGAGTGAACGTCCTGCTCACCCCGGGCTCGCAGAGCAGCTGACCCCAGGCGTGCACCCTCCCCAGGGCTGGCAGCACCCCGCGGGCAGCGAAATGCTCATGGTTACAGCTAAGGAAACCGAGAAGCAGCCAAGGTCACTGTCACAGCAGCAGAAAGCACCGGGGCTGGAAATGGAGTCTGGGGATCTGGAGCCTTCCCGCAGCCCGCTGGGCTCCCAGTCCCCGCTGCCCTTTCCAGCGAGGTGGCTGGGAAAGGGGCTGCTGGAGCTTTTGGTGCTTTGGGGCGTTTTCGTCTGGTTCTGTTCAGGTTTTTACAGCAGTAGACAGAAAGCAGTGGGTTTTTTTCATCTCCTAGTGCCTGCACATCCTGTGGGGTAGGGTGTGAAAACCTGAAAAAATCCGGAATCTGAGCGTGGAAATCAAGAAAAACCTTGGCTGAAGATTAAGATATATTTATACACCCTATTGGAAATTGTTCATGACAGAGAAAGCCTTATTTCTGTCACTTCTTGGGCCCCACCCTTCAGAGCCCGTGCTGTCCCTTCCCCTTGCTGTCTTGAGGTGACCCTCTGCAGCTGTAGGAAACACCCTGACTTCCCAGCTGCGCCCCGAGGCCGGTATTCCCGCACACCCCGTTACGTAGCTGAGTACACGGTTTGGAGGAAGCTGGTCGGGTGGGCTGAGAAACATCACCGCTCCCTTGCCTGGTCCCCTGAGGTATGGCCGTGCCTCTCCCTCTGCTTTGGCCACCAGAGCTGGACGGGAAGCACGAGCATCACATCTGTGAACTGGGCAGGAAGGCTCTGGGGAGAGGTTTGATCCCCACCGGGGGGTTCAGGACTGTGCCCAAGTGCCCAAGTGCTCTTCCCCTGCATTGGCTGCGTGAGGAGTGTGTCTGCTGGCATCCCCCAGGTAACTCTGCAGCTTTCTCCTACGGGTTGTCAGAAGCCGGCAGGTACCTTCCTGGGCCTCGTGGGGATGCAGGGACAGGCAGGGACCCAGCGGAGCCCTCAACAGACGTGGCTGCCACTGGCTGGGGGTGCAGCACGGCCAAACCCGGCAGCAGCATCGTCCCGGCGCTGGGGCCAGCCGCGTGCTGGCAGCTTGACTCCAGCCACC